TCTGGCGATCGACGCATGGGGCAGGTGTCTTCTGCAAGTGGAGGGACAGGCAAATGAACATGACGAGCATGAGACGAAGGCTTGTAGAACTTGTAGGAGAAACATGTGGTGTCGGGTCGGGTTTGTAAATGGGGCAAGTGCCGTCATTGTGTAAACTATCTTCTATGCTGCTCATATTCCTCCCTCACCCTGTGTGGGATCGGCGCTAGGGCATCTACCCATCTATCCACTTCTCAGTCCCTTCTTGTGGCGGATTGCCTATGGAGTGCCGCAGCGCCTGTGTCCACTGCTCTTGCAGGCCCAGCAAAGTTCAGCCCTTCCGCCACCTGGCCGTGCCGAGCCATCAGAGGTCGAGAAGACCTCCAAAACGCTTTCCGATTTGGTGCTCATCTGTGGCCTGATCGAAACACCCTCTGAAAGCGTATGACCCACGACTTTGAGCTCAGCTGGGACATGCGCAAAGACTAGAAGAGCTGCGAAATCGTTCACTGTCAAAGCGCTCCAAGCTCCAAAAGTTTCAGAACCCCAGCTAATTAACTTGCACCTGAGCGACCCTCGTGAGCTTAAACAGGAGGTGCCTTTCCAAGGATCACCGTGGGCGTCGACCGTGTGTAGGAGCTCCAGGAGCTCCAGCAGCCAATCTCCGGAAGGCCTCGGCTGAATGTCCCGCCAGAGTCACCCACTGCCGATCCACACAATCTTTTGAAGACGAAACCCGATCTAACATGACTTTTGTGTAGAACCTGCTCTCACTAAGGGTCCCGGTCTCGGAAAAGTTAAAGAAAGAAAGGTCTGAAAGAAGCCATGTGTGACGGTAGATTGTCATGTTTTCTCGGTCTGTTCTTCTTGCACAAACGGCCTTTTTGCGAGGGTGGAAGCCGATTCAGACATGTCAGAACATGCCAGATCGAACAATGATGTCCAAGTCCACGACCGAACCTCCAGTTGTTTCAATGCAGTGAACTCACGGTTTCGACGTCATTTGTGGAGTCAAATATGTGGCGAAGGCCGAATTTGAGACCAGTTCAGGTAGCCTCAGGTGGCCTCAGGTGGGCCATTGGAATTGGTGATTTGGAAGGAGCTCTGCGGCTCTACTGGATACATGGGAACAAGCTGGGGAGATGGAATCATGTTCAATGTTCTCTGCAGACTCTACAGTCAAGCCCTTGAAAATGTCTCAATTGGACCCAAAACAAGAAGCTAAAGCACCCGCCGCAAAAGTTGTCTGAACATGATAAATCCACGACTCCGACTCCAATACGCAAAAAAAGATAGCAGTGGCATTTGGATGTCGCTGGCACCTGGTGATTGAATTTCGATCTTTTGTAAACCCACAGAGTACAAACGCACCATGTGTTAATATTTGATGAACAAAGTAGTTCTCAAACGCTCGCCTGAGTCCTCGTAGTTCAGAAGTACCTCTTTGGCGCTGATTGACCCATAGTCCACTGAGTGCACAAAACCAAGACACCAGAGAGTCCGCAAAAGAGGCCCCAGTCACAAGGCTTATCCGACCTCCTGGAAATATTGTTGGGAACCAGGCAGCAGGGAGGAGTTTTTTTTAGATCTACAACTCTTCTTCGCTATTTCTTGAACTTGTCGTGTTTCAAGGGTGCATGTGGTGCAGTGCCTTTGTTTTGTCCCTGCAATGCTTTTGAAAACTAGTGAAAGGGCCAACGGCTGTTGCCACAAGTTGAAGAAGACCTATGCATCTGTCTGAAAATTTCGTTATACATAATATACATATATATATATACATATACTCCAGAAGAACAATCGCTGCAAAGTTCTGTATTACCACATATTGCCGCAAAAAAAAAAACTTCAAAACCAGCCCTTTGAATGCTGGTTAAAATCCATAGTCTGGTACTGAACATGTCATTTCGGAGCACAGAAACTCCTCCATTTGTCTTCCCAGCGGTCTTTGTTGCTGCTCAAAGCTTCAGCATGGCCCTCACAAAGGAGCCGCGCCCGCTGATCGAGCTGGTGGCTCTCTTCTTGGCTAAAGCCAAAATACCTGAGACATTCTTTGGGTCTAACCCTGCTTTCTGTTGTTTGGGTCTAAACCTGTCACACTAAAGACATCCAAAACCTACCACCAGCGAAGTGATTGACTAGAAAGAGCATAGGCATAGTCACACTTGCCCAATAGGGTTAGCCGGTTTGCCATCCCTTACAAGCTCGTGGGAACCTTCGCATTGCTGCGACATCAGCATGGTCATTTGACTCGACTATTGGAGGCTTCCGACATCTGTGTCTTCAATTGCGCGAGGGCCGCGAGGGCCAGGAGGTTGCCATAACGCATTCTCCCCTATTTAATCCGATGAAGAAGATGTGCGTAGGGAGAAAGCTGGACATGTTGTACCATCCTCTCTTGGAAAAATGCTTGAGGTCTTGCATAGTTGTAGCTGCCATCTGCTGCCCAGCTGCATGTAGTCAAAGTCTGCAGCCACGTCATAGCCTTGCCACTTCTCACTCAAAAGGGTCTCTGAATGCAGCATCCCATGACATGAAGTACTGGTGGACCTGCAATACTCCTACGATGCAAGGTTGACTCTGTCATGACCGAACATGGGCGTCCGAAGATGACGCATCAGGCTCCCCTGCCCCCCACCATGACCTGGCTTTGAGAAACATTATATAGCCTGGATTTTCCATCGCGGAAATCTGCCTCATCCCAACCTGGCACGTTAACAACATGGTCTCATACTTTAGGGAGAAAGTTTATGCTTGTAGGCGTTTCATGGACAAAGATCCGGCTTACACACGTGTGGTACAGTCACATCTCCCTTATGTAATTCAAATGAGGTAGCAAGTGTCAGGGCTTGAAGTTGAAAATCCACCTCGCGCGCATGCTGTCGATGCTCAGCCCACCAAAAACTGTAGAGAGCATGGGGAGGGCAGTAGCAGACCCTCTGAGCAAGGGCGCTACTAGGGGCTCCTGGCATCGCTACTAGGAGCAAGGACGCTCACAGGGCCGCTTCATGCCATGCCACTTCGGTAGAGCACGGAGAGGTGCGTCGAGTAGACCTTGAAGTCATCTCCACCACAGTTCTCCTGTGCAAGGTGACAGATACATGGGCTACCTTTGACGGCTAAGACTCTCTTTGACGGCTAAGCAGACGTGCCGAGATTCTTTCGCAAACCTTGAGGCACGATGATCATCCGCTCCCAGCAGGATTGATGTATGGTCATGTGAATCCTCCAAGTTTGCTTCAATCCCTCGCATTGGTGGACGACCAACGTTCCCAAAAGAGGGCAAAGCCTGCTACTCCGCGTACGCATCCTGGTCTACATTCCATAGGCCCTATGGCCCTGCAGAAGGTTTCTGAATGATTCATGCACATGGGAACGGAGCTAGTGTTGATGAAGAAGACCTAGCCAAAAGAAGAAAGAACGCCAGCGGACACGAAGATTAGGACCCTTTTTGAGATGGATAATGCCATACTGGTAGCTACAAATTAGCACCTGTAAGTTGTGATCTTCCAACAGTATCCTGTTTCTGTGCAGCTTGACCAGTCTATTCTGTTTCCTCATCACCTTCTATTCTGCAGCCCTCGTAATAAGGTCCCACTTCGCCTCGTAATACTCCGAGAGATCCCACTTTGCACCGAAGTATCGCCTGCAAACGAGCACTTGCAGGGAAGTGTGAAAATGGTTTAACATGCATATGGCCTATACGCTCGTCTGATTTGTCATAGAATCACCACCCAGTTGGCTTTACCAAGTGTTGGAAATACTGCACAGTGAGGCTCCTGTTTGCAAAATGATACTGATGACTGAGGTAGGTTTTGTATTTAAAGACTTTTTTGGTCAAGAGTCCTTCTGGTTCTAGTCACACCTGCCTTGCGGACTTATTTGATTGACGGACTGGGCTACAAAGTGAGGCCAAGGGTTGGTGACGAAAGCTAGCAGGGCCGGGGTGAAGCGGGTGACAGTCGGCCCACTATGCCAGCGGAAATACACGCGTCGCAGAGATGTCCCGGGGAGGAGTTGAACCCGCCGCGGGGGGCCCTGTACATATGAAGTGTTCCAATGTTACTTTTGGAGTCTCCTTAGATTGTCCCAGGCCTGGCTGCAGGATAAGAATCCCAGCATTCCAAAGCCCGTATTTGAACAGAAAAGGCCCCGCTCCAGCAGTTTTGCACAAGGAATTACGTTCAGAGGTACGTTGGATTATATACATGGGCAAAGCACATTTGACTCCATATCTGAGCCAATCGTCTCAACAAGTGCTTTGGTGATAAGAAGCATGGTTGGGCATCCCAGAGTAAGAAAGGATCCAACGCCCGGATCACACTGAACCCACCACCATCTCAACCGCGCCCGCCACACATCTGCTCTAAACAAGAAGCTACTAGTAACAATGGCATCGCTACCAGGAGCAAGGATGCTACTAGGGGCTCTTGGCCTTACTAGGAACAAGAAGCTACTAGGGG